TAAAGTCATAAGCTTTGCCCTTTTCAGAAGCTTTCGTGATCTACTTGTCTCAACTAAGAATCCCATTCCCTTCAGAGGTACCGCAGGCACAGACAGTCAAAAAACACAAACGCAAACACACAGTCCAACAGCTTTCGACCAACATGCTGTTAAGCTACCATCTGTCTTCTATCTGACAGCTTACAACACAAAAACAAACAAAAAATTTTTTTTAATGACATCTATATTCTTTTAAGGCTCTCCAGATGACTTGGAGTAAGATAAGAGGAAAAGTTGAAACTAGGACTGCTTATATAATGCCAAAGGGATGCATACTGTGCCACTCTAATTGCTAAGCATATGAAATGGGTAATCAAAACAGAGAGAAAACCCAACTGACCTCACCCAAAACTCATAGCAAGCCTATAAAGAAATCCCCGCTCCACCCTGAACATGAACACTTCATTTCATTGATAACCCACACCTAAACACAAAACAAACACACACACACACACACACACACAGATAATGTTGATTTTGGAACGAGGTAGAGATCCATCAAACAAAGGAACTTTGGGTGGATATAAGCACTGTTTCGTTGTGTTTACAAACACATTTTATACAAAGGTGATCTTTGACAGTTTTACCAGTTGTACTCTCGTGACAGTTTTCAAATTATGACAAAAATATTAGTAAATTGAACAGAATTCTAACAGAATAACTCCTTAACTTCCCATAACTCCTGTTTGGAAGTACAACATACCTCTTAAAAACAAACAACACAAGAGCATAATTCAGCCTGATATCTACATCAAAGAAGTGAAATCCAGCATGAGGCCAGTTCAAGCGTGGACATGTGGTCAGGTTGTGGGCAGTGCAGCGTGGTACGAAAGAAACAGCCCCCAATAGATGACAATATCTCTGAGGTCTGACTGTCCTACTCACCGTGGGCACACACAAAGTTGAACTCACACACAAACCCTACGCTTTGGCAGAGGCACATTCGCACAATCAGACCGTTTGGTCTGCGAGACACTACCCACACACACACACACAGAGACAGAGGCACATGCACGTACTGACACACATAATCCATTGGCCCGTGAGACACTGCCCACACACACTGGCAGATGCAAGCTGAGTCACTCGTAAGTGCAGACGGGTGGATTCGAGCTCCCTGGGTCCTGTGAGATTACTAAGCAGCTGCCTGGCGTACACACAAACATACATCGACATGCTCCCAAAATCACACATGAAGTTGGACAAAAGAAATTGCCATCAGATCCAGTTTTACATGAGACATGTTACATGGAACTCCATTGAAAGATTAGCAAATTTCCAAAAATTGGCAGGCTTGTCATTCACCAAGTTCTACACAAGCTTTGTGCCTTCTGTGTTGATTGAACAGTTTGATCATATTTTACAAACAATAGTGTGTAGTAGGCTACATCTCCATTCAAGTTTTAAAAAAGGCATTAAAAAGACAGCTATGCAGTCATGAATCTACAACAGTGTTTCTCAACTAGATTTGCTTCGGAACCCATTTACTTTGGACATTAAGTAGCAACCCGACACATTAGCTAAATTGTTTATTGTACAAAATTGAATAGGCCCAACAACTTGCAAAATGATAAACATGACATAAGCTGAATGGGAGAATTGAAAATGTCCAATAATTCAATGTAAACAAAACCATTAAAAAGAAGGTTCACTTGGACTAGAATTCTAGAAAAGTTTGTTCATGGTTTGAGGAATCGAGGATAAAGGAAGTAACCTGTACATGTTGGCATCTGTCTTATTTGCTTGTAGCAAAATACTATGCACCAAAATTAATTTTTTACCAAATTTTTTTTTTTTTACCAAAAATGATGAAATTTGGTTAATTAGGTAATTGAACTTGGTATTCTGTTCAGGGTGTCATGTTCTCAGGTGATAAATTAAACAAGTTGTATTAAAGTTCTTGGGCAATGAGCCGACTCCATATTTCAGCCAAACAATTCTTACTGTTGCTATTCTATCATCCTTTTCTGTCACGGTGAAGAGCGTCCACACATTGATATGTTTACCTTATCCACTTTGTGTGCACAGTATAGACACTGACACGGTCAAATGCGTCATCAGGGAAGCACTAATTAAACATCATAGTTTCGGTCAATGGTTTCAGTCCTTCCAAACTGTTTGGCCAAAAGGGAAAATTAACTTTTTTCTTTTTTTTTTTGCTCTTTCTGCCAAATATTTTAAGTTGCCAAAATTTCAGTGCATCACTACAAAATACTGTAGAGTTTATGTATCCAACAACACAAGATACATAAGATAACGTTACATTGCATCTTTTTGAATTTAACAAGGTTTTGCCATGCTGTCTGTCATAAAACAGACCTGGGCCCTAATTCTGGATCACGACCCCCCAGTTGAGAATCACTGAAGTGAAAGATGATGCCGGATAATGTCAAATGGCCCACTACTTTGTTCTTCTATCTGTGAGTGCAGTTTACTGCTCCACTGCATCCGCATCTCTTTATTTCTTATAATAGAGAACCCCACTGCGGCCTCACAATACCCATAATTATACAAATCACAGAGACTAAAGAAGCCAAGAGACCCAATGAGGAATGAATATTCTCCCACTTAAAGTCTGAAAGGACAAAACAACCTCAATACAATATCTAAAGGTAACACTGGTCATGACTTGAGTTCCCACTTCTCACCGCTCATTTGTATTATATGAGCGGTGAGAATAAATGCTACAGGATATCGAATTAATGATATAATGAGGGTTAAAGTCATTATTCTTGGAGATAATTACTTTCCAAAGTGTCTTTTTGAAGTAGTCAATTTTATAAATTATGACTTCATCCTGCTTAAAATCATCCCATCTATGAGAACGTTGGTAATGCGTAAGCTTGATGTCTTTAGTTAATCCTGAAACAATCAATCAAGTACAATCAAGCAGAAAACAAAATGTCGAAATTTTCATCAAGGGTCATAATAAAAACATTGGAGATGGTTTCACTGTAAATACTCTGAAACTTCTGCCATCGACAAGAAGATAATACTAATGCATGCAAAATAATCCTGAAGGAGGATTACGTGGTCAAGAAACGTCCAGTTATTAAACTAAAGCTTTTCTTTTGGCCGGTTACACAACTTCTCCAAGCTCAGTGAAAAATGTATCTCCATTAGTAAGACTTACAGTACAAGAGAAATAACTACCTCCTTTAGGACCCGAGATATTATCATGACCTCATTTTGACCAAGTTAGAGCAACTTTCCTGTTTGTTCACATACTGTTTGCTGCAGGTTGTCATTTCCTCATAAGCACACATGTACATGTGACTAATCATGTTTTTTCCAAAGCCTGCAATTAAAAATACCATACATATCCAACCACAGGAAACAAGAATCCTAATGGTAACGAGTCAGCTCTGCAAAAAAGTCACCTACTATTAGAGATGACTGATATCCAAGAGAGTGCTAAAAATGCATTTTGTACACTTTGTGTATATATTACTATATATCATCTAATATGAAAAATGACATAACATGCAGTTTGACATACATAGTTAATCTAAACCTATTTACTATTGATGTTTGTTCACACTACTCACTACTATACAAAAAAATATATTTTTTCCTAATTTTGATATAATAATTACCATATACATAAACATATTATGACATCATATTATTTACTATTTGTTAATTTCAAAATTAATGTCACACTGCAGGACTATTTAACTGTAAAAAGGTAAAAAAAAAAAAAAAAAAAAAAAGTAAAAGGTGATTTAAAAAGAAGAAAACCTTGCTATTGTGAAGGCTTTTGTATACCCATGGACGAAATGTAGCCTACTACATATGCCGTGACGCCTTATTTTCACATATCACATTAAAATATTGGTATTAAAAAAGGTGCACTTGCAACATGGTTTCAGGCAAAAAATATTCTGCACAGTTTTCCTCTGAACCCAAAGAAAAGTTAAAAGTTCAGAAAAATGCCATCCTTGCCCAAGTAATAATAGTGTCCCTTCCTTCTCTAGCCAAGGATATTAGCTCCATGGGTTGGAATTAACAGCCTAAACATTAAAGTCCCTTAACAGATGTCCGCAGGATTGGACTAACACGCTTCACTGGGTCAGCCTCAGCAGCCACCAAGGTTTAGTTTGGTGAGTCAGGTGGTTTCAAAGAGGTACGCTACAACAGACATGAGCTCCACCAGGGAAAAGCTGGCAGAGAAAATAAGCAAATGTACGTTCGTATCGCATGCGCGTGCCGTGGGGATCCATGGATGTGCATTAGTCGCTCTTTCCTGTTGGGACTCAGATATGCTCCATCTGTTTTACACAATCAGCTTCATACCACTTTATAAACCGAAAACTCATTTAGAGCAAAACAGTGCAAGTTACAAACAGTGCAAACATTAACATATTAAGCTTTTCACAAATTCCAAACATGAAAGAACAACAACACTAGAGGAAAATATGCTCTTCACATTCAAGTGATGAAATCTAACAATATCACCCGAAACTCACTTGTCTCCCAGCAGTGAGATGACAGGTTCAAGTATTTGGCTAAACTGGTTCTACACTGAAACCAGATATTTCTGCCTTTAAGTACATGAGCCTCCACTCTGCATCATTTAAAGGAATAGTTCACTAATATGATTTCTGTCACAATCAAGTCTCAGTCACTATTCACTTTCATTGTAAAAGATGCTAGTGAATAGTGACTGAGGCTGTCAGTCCCTCACGATCTCTATTTGGGTCCCAGAATTGAAAGTGACAGGTTTGGAACAACATGAGGATGAGTAAATGAATGTTCATTTTTGGGTGAACTGTCCCTTTAAGCAAGTTATTAATCAGCAAGTAACTTTAAAAGAGAAAACCTTTGCATTTACATTTTATATTAAGTTTACAATATGAATAAATAAATCTAACATATAATACATAAAATACAACCAATGCAGTGTAATTACAAATATAAAACTATAAATCTGCCTATATAATAATAACAGTGAAACTCACCTTATAGACATTCTCCGTTATACGGTGCACCTCATCGGTCCGGGACATTTTGGAGGCTTGAGTCAGAACCATAGACGAGAATTTTAATTTCTACTGCAGGAAAATGTTTCCGAGAAAACACAGGAGGAGGAGGAGGAGCAGGAGGAGGAAGAGGAGACACTGTATCGTTCAAACAGAGAGTGTCAGAGGCTGAGGAGGATGCGGGAGCTTTTATATGGAACTCTCTCACTGATGCCCACTAGTGATGTGTCGTTCATGAACGATTCGTTCATTTTGAACGAATCTTTAATATGACTCGGGACTACCGAGTTGTCTCAGAGAGTGATTCGTTCATTTTGTGTTGATCGCGCATGCGCATTGAGCAACATATGGTTTCTGAATCTGTACTGGAAATGATTAGTTCATCTCTCTCGAGTTCGGGTTCGGGACGGGTCCGAGTCTTTCGTTCTTCCTGTCAGTCCCATAGAGGCTATGCTGTCAGTACCGGAAAGAGTAATGATTAGTTCATCTTTCGAGTCTCGAGTTCGGGTTCGGCCGGGTCCGAGTCTTTCGTTCTTCCTGTCAGTCCCATAGAGGCTATGCTGTCAGTACCGGAAAGAGTAATGATTAGTTCATCTTCTGAGTCTTCGGGTTTGAGTCCTTCGTTCTTTTGTCACGTGACGTGTCACCGTATTGAATGGCCTACTAATTCACAACCTTTTTACAAACAAGCACGTAGTTAATGTATAATATAATAGTAGTTAATTAATGTATAATGCTATAATAAAACACACCACAGACGCACAAGAAACATTTAAAGAAACGGACAGGGACAATAATAAGATGGAACTTTTATTTTTCAGATAATGTTTATTTCACATATTTTGTATTTTAATTCCTAAATATAAAACAATATACATTCAGACGCAGTCAATAATACGAATCTAATATTGTATTTGATGCGAGATACCAGCGGTCACGTGACAAAAGAACGAAGGACTCAAACCCGAAGACTCGAGGAAAATGAACTAATCATTACTCTTTCCGGTACTGACAGCATAGCCTCTATGGGACTGACAGGAAGAACGAAAGACTCGGACCCGGCCGAACCCGAACTCGAGACTCGAAAGATGAACTAATCATTACTCTTTCCGGCCCTGCTGTATCACACACGGCACGGCCCAGCAGACAGATCAGAGTCAGACACTGACGAGTCGACAACTAACGTCTCGAGACACAAGAGGAGGAGAACAAACCTGATAAATATGAAGTTGCAAAGGAAAGAACGTCTCGGATGAGGAGGTGAGGTGAACTAACAGAATCAGACTGCAATAGCCTGAACTTAAAACCCAACAACTAATCAATTCATAAAAATTTCGGTTTCTTATAATTTGGCTTTGGCTGCATTACCCTATAATTTATTTTTATTCTTTTTACAAATGTAATCAACATTTTCGTAAGTTCTAGATGTGTTGGGATATTTAACATGCCATTTTAATTATATTATGCTGAAATGAACGAAATGACTCGAAAAAAGATTCGTTCATTTTGCTGAACGAGACTCAAAGATCCGAGTCAGTAAAATGATCCGAACTTCCCACTACTAATGCCCACGCGCAGCCGCCGGAGTGGCGGGAATCCACCGTACGCGTTCATCCTCGTCACTGGAACTGCGCTTGATATTCCAACGGACTCCGCCTCTCCTCTTCACCTTCTACGCTGCGAATGCGGCGCGGTGCGACAAAAGAGCTTTCTTTCTTGGTTATAACAGAAGCGTTCGCGTTACTACATAACGCGGGTAGTGAAAGAGCTGCAGTCAGATGTGTGACCATTTATTACAACATTACGTCGCGTGCTTGCAAAGAGTGTAAACTGTTATCATAATTGCAGCGTTCATGTTTGGCGCGTCGTTACCGCTGTGTAGAGGGGTGCCAGGAACAGTCTGTCCTTTGGATGTGGATACCATAGCTATGTTCAAAATCGCCCCCCTATACCCTATTTCATTATAGGCAAGGAGTGAATAAAAACGGCTGCCGCTTTTGCATAGTTTGTTTTTGCCGTTTAATAATCATTTGAAACTTGGAAGCTTTAATGAAGATCTATATTGAACTCTCTCATGGAAACTATCATGTGTAAACCAATTAAACAATTTAATAATCAATTAAAAAGGAAATTAATAATACCTGCATGATATTAGGCTAGCATAAACATGGGCAGCATTCCGAAATCGCGTACTTCCTTGCTATATAGTAGGCGAAAAGCAGTATGTGACAAAATAAGATGCCCGAATTCACTCATAAAAGACTTGGCAAAGAGTAGTACGCGGATGCCTTACTTCCGGCGAGATTCTGATGTGTGCGATGGACACTTTACTATACCATGAGGCCAGGGGAGAGGATCTATAAATTGCAGTGAAGCGACGCTGGTAGGTCACATGATAATGACAACATGGTGAATGCAGTAGGCTACGTCCAGTTATATTCATCATACTACACAAATTCATACTATAGAACGTGAAGTACTTATTCAAAACAAGTACCTCAAGAGACAATGCGATTTTGGACCCGACCGTCACAGTGCATTATGGGTATTCTTTAGCCGTTGAGTGTAGGCGACATCGGTTATGCACTCGTTATTGCGGTGCATTATGGGATGAGTGCACTCGAGAACGTCCACTATGATTTTTGGACACCACTACAAATGACTGTCCCTTCAAATAGTGCCCTATTTAATGGTATAGGAGGCGATTTCAGACACAGCCCTACTTTTGAGTGGGGGGCATTTTTAATTCATTTTAATGAGCTGAATCTTTGAACGTTTGAAACCTCCTAAAAAGACACTGACCCTTTTTCATGGCGACATGCAAGTGTGTGAAATGAGCAAGTCATTGCATCATTAATTTTTAGCAAAAGTTGTGTTCGACTTGAAGCGGCGCTACTATACCGATCGATCAGTATATGACAAAGTACTAGATCTCATGGTACTTTCGGCCTGCGCCGCCGCAGCGCTACTTCAAGTCGAACACAACTTTTGCTTTAAACAAAAAAAGAGTTCAAACAATTTGTTCGCTTAAAATGTGTATGTCAGGTTACATTTGTAATTATGATTAACACAAAATAGTTAGGGGAAATAAACGTTTGACAAGTTGATGTATTGTTTTGTATGTTTTTCGATACCTAAAGGCAGAATATAAGATGAAAAAGTTTGTTATTTTCAGTACTCACTGAAAACTGCTCCTCCCCCAAACGAATCGCTTGACGTCATAAGAGGGAGTGAAAACTTTCGCTGAGAAAGTGAGTTTGTGAGCTGTGTTGATAATTGTACGAGTGATAGAGCGAGAGAATAAGTGATTAGGACATTTATTTATTTAGTTAGTTATTTAAGTTAGGTAGTTAGTTAGGTATACACAGGCGTATTTTCACGATGGTGAATTACTGCGTTTGTGCTGGGTGCAAAAACACTGTTAAAACCGGTCACAGAGTCCACTTTTTCCCAAAAAGCAGGTCTGTGTTCCGTGCCTGAGTCAACTTTGTTCGGACCAAACGCGCTGACTTCAGTGCTGCTTCGGTATCCAAGACTTCGGTCATTTGCGGCGCACATTTCTTCCAGTTTTTATGTTTCCACTGTTAGATCGCGCCCGCGCCTCTCTCTCTCTCTATCTAATTAATTTGCACGTGAGTTTTATTTATTTTTATACCGTGTATATTCATGCACCGAACCGTGATGCCCGTAGCTTTCAGTTCAATACGAATACATGCACGTTCCACCTCTAAGTTATGCCTATAGCCTAACGTTACTTACCAAGACACCTGACCAACTCTCCACTGGTTCTCTTCACACCAGATATTTATGTTTCTTCGATAGGAATTATTTAAATTTCTGTTTGGCTCCTCATCTGTCTCACGCCTGGGAGGCTCAAAATTGTATGGATCTCATGAAATGGCGTATGTATGACACGCCAATTCGTATTTCCATTTTTGGCGTGCTATCAACACGCATAATCGCTTTTCAGCGTGTTTATCAACGCCTTTGACTTAACGTTATATTACTGTATTATGCATATATAAATATATGACCTACCCCAACCCCGTCCCTAAACCTACCCGTCACTGGGGTTAATACCATTTATGAGTCTTCTCCTACCATCCTAGGAAAAGAAATATCGCTCCACAGATGTAGATATAGATTTTGCTTCGTTTCGCTCGGACATTTAACGGCGTAGACATACACGCGGAATCACTCGGACATTTAATGGCGTAGACATACACGCAAAAGATTTCGGCGTGGACATACACGCGGATATTTCAAAATGCGTATAGATAACACGCCACTTGAATTGAAAGTGGCGTGTATGTTTACGCAAAGTCATGATGTCATGTTGGTTTGAGGGGGATTTTGGATCTCCTTAGACTCAAAACTCTCCATACTTCAATAGAACTTTTTGGCACGTCTCCCTCTTCTGACGTCACAGCTCAGCTGTGTTTTAAAAATATGATCTTGACAGAAATGGCTATAAAGCTTACTATAGGGCAATTACAGTAATAATTTTAATGATAATTACATTTTCACTCAGACATCTAAGTTTTTAAAAAATGGATCTTTAGAACAAATCGTATTGTGAAAAACGTCATACAAATAAATTTAATTTGAAATGAGACGACGACGAGACAATGCTAAAATGAAATTTGACATTGTCAGTTAGAAAAAACGTCACAGATTTTTTATTATTTTATGAACGAGCTATTGGAGTCATTTAATCATGGATTTTTGAGTAAAAATGAGAAATCTATCTCTAAATTTATGAGTTAGATGAGGATTTTTTCTGTTTTGAGAAACATTTGCTTTAGCCTATATTCCCAGAATCAAGCGTCATGACTACATCACTCATAGTACAACTATCACCCAAGGACTGGAGGAGGATCAGATGAGATGAGTACAGTAGTGGGCACTGCGCAATTCATGCGTGGGTCTGTGCGTGTGATGTAGGCAGGGATTCCTTTTGTATCCCTCAGCAGCAGCTTCTACCCACACCACCAACACACAGTTTTTCCCTGCTGCACTCTCCCTCTCTCTATATCTTAGAGAACTACAACTACACAAACCAAGAATAAAACCTCATATTCAGGATTTAGAGCAACTGATGAGATAATTTAAGACCTAAAAATCTTACAAGAATATTTCTATATAGCCTAAATCAAAATTTGTCATTTTTTTAGGTCAAAACACATTTATTTATTTAGTGCTTTAT